GCTCTTTTGGGGAGCAGATACCAGGGATCCCCAGAATCATTAGATTTATCAGAATCATTAGACCTGCCTGACAAGAGCTATAAAACACTCTGCTACTTCAGACTGAATGTTTTCCCATGGGCTAGTCAGGACACAGTGCTTGATCACTGCAAAAATTAGTAAGAACTAAAAAGCAGACCACACACACACACACAAAGAGAGAGAGAGAGAAAGAGAGAGAGAGAGAGAGAGAGAGAGAGAGAGAGAGAGAGAGAAGGGCGGAGGGAGGGGGAGCTCAGGAAAGCATAAACATAAAGAATCCAATTGCTGTCTGGTCAGTTTGCTTCCTGGTTTTACTGGAGAGCAGAGTTCGTTAACGTTTTGTTAATGAAGAACACTCTAACCTGCTCTGGTCTGACCTATGGCTGAGTAAGAGTGAGAACACTAGAGTGAGAAACAACCGTTTTACTAACTTTTCCTTGTGCTTCCTCTGGGGAGTAGGTATCAGGCAAATTCCCACTGATAAGCCTAACAGAATCCAAACACACGTGTGTATGGGTGAATTGATGCTAATGGTGAAATTGTGAAGTGCTGATTACCACGGGTAACAGACATACAGATGCAGCACATGCATTAAAACGACCTTCCTGAACCCTCCCCTCTTAGCCTCATCATCCCCTTCTCGGGCTGATAGACCTTCTTGAGTTACACTCTGTGGGATTCTGAGGAAGACAAGTGCCAGCTCAGCTCCAAGGACCTCTCAGACATTCTTTCAAATATGGCATGGACTTCATTAATGAAAAAAAAAATTTGTGAGAGTCATCAACAGCAGTTGAATAACATTTTAAATCCCAAAATGACAATTACTGCATTAAGACAAGAAACAGAGGCCTTAATTTTGAATAATAATTTAAAAGCTACCTCTCAAATATATCAACTTAACATCCTTGGCTGGGTAGGACTTTCAAAAGTTACTACAAACTTCTCTATGACATGTAGATAGAAGGACCACTTCACCTTCATAGGACATACCACTTTTTTCTAGTATATATGAGATGTCCCATGTAACATAAATATAACTCACATGTGTAAGCATGCACACATGCTCCCTCCTCTCCTTACTTTTGAGGCCCCGGAGGAAATGACTGTAGAATTTTAAATCAGAAACCCAAAGCTAAGGTTAGTAGTGTCAGGTTAAAGGCTCGCCCATCTCCAAAGCTAATTCAGTTCTGAAAAGTCCCAGGGGTGTCTAGCTGAACAGAAGGAGCTAGGAAACCCTAGCAGGCCGGAGCCCAGCCTGGGGAATTGCTAGCACTCTGTGCCAGGAGCCCAGGCTCACCCCAGACTTGGTATCAGATAATACCAAGTGCTCGCCTGGATTTCCAGGACTAATCCACTCTCGGGTGGACTATCCAGGTTCCCTGGTGTCTGTACTGTGGGAAGACAGTGGGCTTTGCAGGGCCAGACTGTTCCTAGATAGTTTAATGTGAGAAGTAGACTCCACTCAGAAAGCATCTGTATGTGGTAATGGTGTGCACTCTGAGACTCTTTAGCCCCATTGCTGGGGGCTCGAGGGCCAAGACTGTGGGCCAAAATGGAAAGTATTTCAACTGTTCTACAAATTCAAACAGTAAGAACACACACACACACACACACACACACACTGCACTTCTTAATGTTTACAGGTTCTATCCATTCTTAAATCAACACATCAATAGTGGCTTTAATAACTTCTGCAGTTACTCAGAAAGGTCCTTTGCCTTAAAAGCAATTTAAATTTCCCCAGTTCATTCATTAAACCACCTCCTTGTCTCGCCTACAAAACAGATCACTGTGGGGGAGGGCAATTTTTAGGTTTGTCTCTAAATAGCTTCTTTAAACTCCTAAAGGTGACTTCTAACAGGCACCTTTAATTCCAAAACTCAACTGTATTTTAACCTTGATACAGCATAGTTCTCCCAGGAAAGGGGCCCTTTTCCCACACACGAATAAAAAAATAGTTCAGTATTAAAAAACTAGGCCATAGATCTACAACTATATTCTGTACTAAGTGGAAATTAACATTCATTTTTTTATCCAAATAGATATGCCTTATATCTGTATATCATTCTCAAGTTTCTAGGATCCTCAGTGGGCTCTTAGCTAGCCCTGGGTTACTATGACTGACTCGGAAAATACACCATTTGCCCAGAAATTGCTCTTAGTCAAAATGTAAATTGCTTATAAAACATGAGTAAGCCCCGATTAGAAAAAGCAGCACACATACACACACACAAAAATCCATTCAATGCAAAAAGAGGTGGAAACTCTTTACAAATTAAGGCTTCCCTTAAAAAGAAGGTGGGGGGGAAGGGTGAAGGCAGGAACGCTTACTGTGCTTCCAAAAGTAAATTGCTTCTTAGGTTAAAGTGGCTTAATGTGACTACAAGAGGGAGGCGGTTTTTTTTTAATAGATAACAGTATTCAATCTGAGAACGAAGAGGGAGCCTACTCTCAAAATAAAACTTCATCAACAGGCAGCTACCCGCGGGAGAGGCCCACCAGACACCGGAGCTAAAATGGAGCCTGAATTTCCTCTCAGACAGAGGGTAGTCGCAGGAGGTCAGGGTCAAGGTCACCGGCAGGGCAGGCTGCAGCTGCCCGACTGCACTGCACACCACGGGAGGGGCGGCGTTCCAGCCGTCTCAGCCGAAACTGATAAATCCCTTCTCCTCTCCCACCCTCCCTCTAACCCCGCCAACGTTTTTTTTTTTAAAGCAGGGGGAGAAGAGAAGAAAGGGAAATGACCAAGTAACCTCACCGCCCCGGTTTTCGCATACAAGCTCATCAGCTCCCAAAGTTGCCATCTAAGGGCAAGTTCGCAGAGAACACTGAAGCCCATTTTGTGTGAGCAGGGCAAGCCTCCCGCAGTGGCACCCGCCCGGGACACCAGCCTCCCCCCTCGCTGCCCACGCGCGTCCGAGCAAGAGGGAAGCCCGGCCCGGCCATGTGCACGCACACTTCCACCAACTGCTGCGAGTTTTCTGTGAATCGCAGCGCGGAGCCTCCCGCCTCGCCCGCCCCGACTGCGCCGCCTTCTCCTCCTCCTCCTCCTCCTCCTCCTCGCACAAAATTTTCCTACACTCGCAGCCGCCTGCGAGTGATTTTATGTGCATATATATTACATATGTGATATTATCCTCAGAACCTCTAGCGGGCAGGCGAAGAAAGGACTGCACGGGGGCATTTTTTTTTTCTCCCTAAAGGAAGGGGAAAAAAAAGCACAACCCTAGCCCTGTGCGTCGGCTCCTTGCGTACCGGGAAGGGGGAAGAAAAGAGGAATGTTTGCGGAGCAGACTGCCCGCGCGTGCCCTTGCTCGCCACTCCGGGTGCCACCGCGGCCGCCCGGGCCACAGCAGCCCCGCGGCCCCCTCGCGTGGGCACCGCCGCGGAGATTTCGCGAGGGGGAGATCGATCGCGCTCGCCCGTCTGCGGCGGAAACACACACGCTCACACACAACCCGAGACACCATAACCTTAACCCTTCCCCCACCCTCCGTGAACTTCAGGTGACCGACCACGTCGGCCTGACACCCGCGCGGGCGGGCGCTCCGGCTCCACTCCCGCCCCCAGCCCGGGTTTTGCAGGATCGGGCTCCCGAGCAGCGCCAAACCGCCCAGGAGAGGGGAGCGGGGCAGTGGGGGCTGGAGGGGGGGAAGAGGAGAAACTGACCCTCCGTCTCCCCCGACCCCTCCCTCCGGCGCCTCCCGCGTCCCCTCCTCCCGCCACCCCGCCCCACGCCTTCTCCCCTGCCCCCTCTCCCCTGCATTCAAGGAGCCCGGCGGCCCCGGGGGGGATATTTTTAGTTGCTTCTTTCTCCTTCACTTTTAGCTTCAGCAGCATCTCGGAACACTCCGAGCGGAGAGAGCTTGGGGGGGACGAGGGGGGAGCCCGAGAGGGAGTGGGGGAAAAGTTAAGAGTCTCGCAAAGAAAAGCGGGAGGGCGGCGCGGAGGGACCCGAGGCGCGGGTGGAGGAGGGGACGGGGACCCGGCCGCGCAGCCCGGCGCGAGTCTCCAGTTGGCGTGTGTGGCTAGGGCCAGGAGGGCTGGGATGCACTTTAGTCGCGGACTCTGCTCGGGCTGGCCGGGGAGGGGGGTCTGCGAGCCCGCGTCGCCCCGGCTCTGTCTGCTCCGCCTGACCCCGCATTTTATTGCGGCCGGGAGCCCTGCTCCGCCCTCCCCTCGGCTCTGCAGGGACCTCGCGCGCCGCGCGCCGCCCTGGCTGCTTCGCCTCAGCCTCGGCTCGGCTCCCGCACCCCACATCCGCTCGGCTGCCCGGCCTCGCCCCCCGATCGGCCGCCCGCGCCCCCCGGCGCCCCCACACCCTCCTCGACCGCCCCTGGCTCCCCCTCCGCCGCCGTCTCCACCTCCGCCTCTAGCTCCAGGCGCCCGCGGCTCCGGGGCCGACCCACCCCGGCGCAACCTTTAGCCGGAGACCGACCTCTCCGGTCCCCAGCCCAGCGGGCGGCCGCGCGCCCTCGCCCCGACACCCCCAATCGCCATGTCACGGCCTCGGCCCGGCGCGCGCCCCAACCCCGCACCCTTGTGCACCGGGATCCACACGGAATTTCTTCTTTTTTTTTTTTTTCCAAGATTGCAACCTCTCCCACCTCCCCCCACCCGCGACAAAAACCCGGCATCCACACTACTCCCCTCCTCCCTCCTCTCGCCCCCTCCCCCGCAACCCGGAGTGAGGAGGGGGAGGGAAAGGGGGGAAAAGCTCGATCTCAAGGAAAAAAAGAGGGGGGGCGAGAGAAAGAAAGAAAAAGAGAGAGAGAATAGAAAGGGCACGGGGCTGATCATCACCAACATGGCTGCCTCGGCATAGACCTAAACGAGGAGTAACCCGGGCTGTGTCTTTGTCAGTTTCACCTCTGTAACCCTAAACTAATGCAGAAAACAACGGCGGAGGCTGCGGAGGGGAAAGAGGAGAGGGAGGGCGAGAAAATGGCACGAGAGGAGGTGGAGAAGGGATGACTTACGTGAGGGAAGGCGCTTGGGCTGCTCCTGCTTCCTCCTGGGCATTTTCCCCCTTTTCTCACATTCTCCTCCTTGGTTAATGTGAGATCAAATAAACCCCGTGGGGGCAGACAGGCAGACACTGGCAGGAGCGGGGAGGTAGTTGGGGGGCGGGCAGGGGGAAACCCCTTCTCTCCGGTGTGTGCAATGGGTTGAAGCTTGTTTCCTGGAGCCAGAAGAGGGGTTTTCTTCTTTTCTTTCCTTTCTTTCTTTCTTTCTTTCTTTTTTTTTCCTTTTTTTTTTTTAATTTTTTGGTCGTGCACCTGGCTTGTCCCCGAGCGTAATATTCTTCAATGGAAACGGATCTAATAGGTGTGAGTGTGTGTGTGTGTCCTGTGCTCGCGTGTGATGGGAGGTATAAATAAATGAGCGCCGGTGCGGCGGTGTCTATGGCCGCGCGCTGTGTCTCCGAGCCCCTAACACTAATGTCGGGATCAAAGGGCAGCGGCGGCGGCAGCACGGCTCCCAGCTCGCTCTCTCGCTCTCCTCTCGCGCTCTCTCTCTCTCTGTCACACACACACACACACTCACACACACACACAGAGAGGCACAGACTGAGGGAAAGAGCGAGAGCTAGACACACGCGCGCGCGCACACACACACACACACACACACACACACACAGCAAAGAGGAAGGTGCCCTAAGGCTCTCAGGGCGGACTCAGCCTCGCATTTACAACTGCTCTGTCTGGAAAGAATGGGGGGCGCGCGTGCGGGGGTGGGATGGACTTCTTCAAATTTATCCCGCTAGTCGCCCAATCAAGGGGGGGTTGGAAAAGTTCCCCCCCGCTCTTGAAACATTATTTTACAGATTATTTTTTTAAGGAAATAGGTTGCACTAACCACTTTCTTTTATGTATTAAACTACGTTTGGTTCTGTATAAAATTCCCCAGGCTTTTGTAACTGAAAGACTGACTCTTTCACCCCATCACCTTGAGTCTGGAGGTTATAGATTCTCACACACTCCCTTAAAACAGCCCAATGCAAAGAAATCTTTAAAAAAAAAATTAAAAGATAGCATAGGGTGGGATCAGTGGATGGGTGGTGATGGGTGGAATGGACACCCAGTTTTGGAGGGTCCAGTGGAGTTAACACGTGAAAATTCAGCCTAAACGAAAATTACAGGTCCTTGAGAAAGGGAAAATAAGATTAGGCCACCACTGGGGGGTGATTCAACTGCCACGGGGATATTCCTACAGTGCGATCTTGACTTCTGTGATTCACTCCCCCCCCCCCCCAACACAGGTAGCTGAGGCTTGCCCTGAAGCAATACTAACGTGTAGTTTGGCTTTCATTAAGCCATATACTTTCATTACTTTAGAAATCACACATCTTGCTTCAAAGAGACACATAAAGAGGGAAAACAGAAAAGGATGCGTCTCCTCACAAAAGATACTCGGTGAAGGGAACTGCTCTCTCCCTCACTGACTGTAAGCCATGTGGATAGACGTTCACTGGGAGGTTGTTAATGATTTAAAACTCCAAAATCTGCTACTATAATTGAACCAAAAAAAAAAAAACTGGCCTGAAGAAGAGCTGTTTCATAAAAGTCTTTGTAAGGGGAAACTTTGAACTTGGTGGAATACATTATATGTCATGAGTCAGAGCTAAAAAATAAAAAGGTGCATTATTTAAACTACATCTTCCCTTTTGAGCTTTAAAAAATCGACTCATCATCTTATTATGTTAAATATTTTCCTACCAATTTTTAAATAGATGTTTTCATCAGAAGGTGGACCATAGTGAAGACGAAGAAGTGTGAAGTGGCCTTCATTCTATCAGGTGACATGAGTGACTGATGACACTTAGAAGGCTCCAGTGGGGTTAAAGAGAGCCACTGGGGTGACGTTTGGTTACGTTTTCTTTAAAAATGACAATAGTTAATACTGTTTTCACTAGGAAACTGTAAAGGAGACTGTGTCTCCAAAGAGATGGCTTTCATTAATACTGAATTCTCAAGAATTCTTGCTGCTGCCTACCAACAGACATGGCTCGCCAAGGTTGTGATGATATTTGAAGCAGATTTAAATGCCTACTGAAACAAGTGCACATAAAACAACTGAATTCAAACTGAAGTGCCAACCTTAAGCCAATTCCAAAAAATAAAATAAAATTGTTTTAAATGGTAGTTAAAATCAGGCATGGTGACCAATGTCTTTGATCCCAGCACTGGGGAGGCAGAGGCAGGCAGATTGCACATTTGAGACCAACTTGGTCTACATAGCAAGCTCCAGACTAGCCAGGGCTACAAGTGAGACCGTCTCAAAATAAGAAAACAAACAAACAAAAAGAAGCTGTTAAATGTCCCTGTGTTGTGGTTTGAAATAGACGGTCTTTTCACTCAGATCAAGTCCAGTTTGCTATGACTCCGGCTGTGCATCAGGTTTGAGGTTCATCCGGTCCAGGCAGACTGCTGTGAGCTTGTCACACCTAAGGAGTGGCAATCACGCTGATCATGACACTGACCACAGCTTCCTCAGAACTTTTACCTAGGATATCAGGATCACCACTCCAAATGGACACAGCACCACCTTTTCCTGAAACTGCAATGACCGTTCACAGTACTTAGTACACTGTAATTGAAAACACACTTTTGGCCCGCCCTCCAAGCTGAGTACATTTCCTGCGACCTTTTAAAGGCATGCTGGCAAAAGCTGTCTACTTTTAATTATATAGGTGTTCCATCAACAGCCAAAAGCATTTTAAATGGAATTTATTCATGCCTCCACCTTTTTCCAAAAATTATTTGAAGTAATACATAACAATGGGAAATAGAAATAAACAGAGCCTGCTCTGTTTAAATCCTATGTTGGTGTCTGAACGGTAGAGAACACAGTTCAAAGTCATTTGTAACCACCCTTAACTGCAGTAATGTTATACCAACTAAATGTTAGAAAGATAGATACCGGAGATCATCACAACAAAACTCAAAAATCAAAATTTGACAATACATTTGGGTACATATACCCAGGAACAGTCAGCTTGAATTCTCATCCACCCAGAGCATCAGACTCAAATGTTGTATTTAATTCACTGGGATTTTAAGACCACATATTTCTTTAAAAGCACAGTACCCTCCCCTCTCATCTCTAGCATCTGTCAAATATGAGATCTATTTAGGTTCTTTAAAAATAAAGGTGTGCATTCTGAGATGTTTCGTAGGTGCTGGCTCATAGGTGTAAATCCCATTTAAGGCCAAGAATTGCTAACGGTGGGTAGACAGTAGGACATGACTCATAGACTAGTATACAGTCTGCAGAGGGTCTCCAGGGTCAAAAGCGTTTTTATAATGAAAATGACTTGACAGGTACAGACACCTGCTGACATGCCTGATGGCCCAAGTCCTGTCTTTGACACACGCTTGGTGGAATGAGGGAATCAACTATCAGCAACATGTTCTCTGACCTCCACACGTGTGCCATGGCGTGCACAACATCCCTCCAGGTAACACTGATTAATTCATGTTTTTAATACTTTTATAAATACATTAAGATGCTCTTTTCTCTATGATGGCATTTGCGGTGCTGATGCTAAGGCAGTGGTGGGTAGTAAGATGACGCTGTATTGGCAGAGATCAAGGCAGGGAACCACACTTAGGATCAGTCATCCTCTTTGTCACCACATGCACTCAGAGAAAGCAAAAAGGAAGGCTCATTTAAGGACACCCTTGATGGAGCAGTAAAAACTGAATTTTACTAACTCTGACCCCTAGACAAAACGTTTCCCTGTGACACAGTAATGGGCACAGAGAGTGCTCGGCTGCGGCTGAAAGACGTCAGTTGTCTGAGGAAAAGTCACTCCTGAGATTACTTGAAATAGTGTTCATTCTTTGCGGGACATTATCTTTACTTGAAAGGATGACTAGCAGAAAAACTTGGGTATTTCTCAAAAAATAAATAAATAAAAAGAATAAGGTAAGTTTGTAACTTCAAGGAAACAGGGCAGAGCATTGTTCTAGAAATGGAAGTATTTGTACTTGCAAGTGAAAACTCACAGGACTTGCATTTGTTACCATGAACTTAAACGGCTTCCTAACACTGCATTTGTCTTATGAGATCCATAGTGACATTAATAAATGTGATTTTTTTAAAAAGTGGTGTCAACACTTTGAAAGATCTGCCTAGCTCAATTTAAGCAGCATATTGCAAATATTCAATACATATTATTACTAAGTGGGTCATTGTAGAAGATTCACTCAACATGAAACACGGATCAATGAATTTTAATGCAAAAACTAGGAAAGCACATTGACATGGTTTCAGATTCCACACTGCTTATAACTTTTAAGAAACTACTATTAGTTGAACTCCAGAGTAGTGTTAAAGAATGATATTCATAATTACTTGTCGAGATTATTAATATATTCCTCCCTTTTCTAACTGCATATCTGTGTGAAGCTAAGTCTTCAAGCAAATCTTTCTTTTCTTTATATTTTTTAAGTTTTATTTATTTATTTTTAAAGATTTTATTTTTACTGTAAATTGTGTATATATGTGTGTTTCTGGGCACAGGTACATGTGAGTGTAATGCCTGTGGAGACCAGAAGAGGGTCCTAGAGCCTCTGTTAGAAAGCTCCAGAGTCATAAATTGTTGCAAGAAGCCTGAGCCCTGGGAATCAAACTTATGTCCTTTGCCAGAGCAGTATGAACTCTCACCTACTGGACCGTCTTTACATAACTCTACCCCTTTTTAACTTATGTGTATGTCTGTGCCTGCACGTGGTCATGTGCCTGTGACGCCCAAAAGAAGGCATGGAATCTTCTGGAGTTCGAGTTTGTAGAAGCTTGTGAGCCGTTCATCATGGATGCTGGGAACTGAGCTTGGACCCTTGGACAAGAGTGGCAAGTTCTCCTAACCACAGAGCTATCTCTTCAGCTCATTTTTTGCATTTTTAAAATAAATACATTGAAGCTAGGTGTGGTGGTTCACACTTTTAATCCTACCACTCAGAAAGCAACAGGCCAATCTCTGAGTTTGAGGCCACTCTGATATACATAGAGAGCTCCAGGCCAACTAGTGCTAAGACTCTGCCTCAAACAAAAACCAGATATAAATAAAAATAAATGACAATAAAATAAAATTTTATTTTTAATTTGATAAAATTAAATTATTAAATTAAATTAATTTTTTAAATTAAAATTTTAAATTTTAATTAAAATATAATTTAACTTAATGGGGCAGGCCATACAGAGTCTCATGCATGCTGTACAGGCAGTCTACCAGTGACTCACATCCTCAGCCTCTCTCCATGAACATCTTTAGCCAAAACAATATTTGATAACAGACAGAATGCAGACACAGACAGATTGAAGCTGTGTTGTACTGAGCCAAACACGACCGAGGTTTACTAAGATGTGTTATGTTAATTAGTGATGTATATTGGTGGCCCTCTCACCACAAAACATTTTGAAAATCGTAGATTTTTCATAAAGTGTATAATATATTGGTTTTATTAATTATAAAAAAATAAATAATTTTTTTCTAA